CTGGGACCCAAGGATGTGCCCTTAACTGGAATTGAACCCGTGACCCTTTGGTCTGTGGCCAACACTCTAACTGCTGAACCAAACCGGCCAGGGCTAGTGTTATATCTTTATTTTAGTTCTTATACCATACACACACACACATACACCCCCCCCACACACACACACTTAATTGTAATTTTCCAGTAATAGATTTGATTTGGGCCTTTGCTAACTGCTCTGTTTGGAGAAAAAGGATATGTGTTTTTAAAAACAAAACAAAACAGTGTCCGGCCTGTGTGGCTCAGTGGTTGAGCGTCAACCCATGCACCAAGAGGTCGCCGGTTTGAATCCCAGTCAGGTTGTGGGCCCGATCCCCAATGAGGGGCATGCAGGAGGCGGCCAATCGATGTTCTTTCTCATCGATGTTTTTGTCTCTCTTTCCCTCTCACTTCCTGTCTCTCTATAATCAGTAAAGGAAAAAAATATTAAAAAAACAAAAACAGTGTTATTAAACTTCCATCTTTGTCGCCTCAGGCTTGAGGAGGGGCCTGGCCGGGGAAGAGCCTAGACGTTTCCTTCATGGCGAGGTGTTCCTGCCAGACACACGGTGGCTCAGTCAGGTTTAGGGAAGGTTTTGATCTGAAACTTTCTTCCCTGCTCGGCTCAAGCAGACAAAAACTTTCTGTTCCGGAGACGGTTGTCTAGGTGACGATTGTATTTGCTCCTGTGCCCTCCCTCCCATCTCCCGCCTCAGAGTTCACAGGAAAAGGCCGGAATCAGAAGACGTGGTCTGAAAGTAGGGGCGCTGTCCCTCTGTCGCCCCTGTGTTCCCCGGCCCGTGGGTTGTGGTAGGAAAGTGAGTTGTCTCTGTGAGTGTGTGTTTTCTGTTCCTTTTCCAGCAGTCTGGTTTCCAGAACAACTTTGAGGACTCATCAAACCGCATGTTCACTTGAAAGAAATAGCCCTCTCCCCTTCCAGTCTGGCAATGATTTTTCTCCAAGTTTTTTCTTTGACACCATTTGAGAAGGAAATGTCATTTTTTAAAAGTCCATGAACCACCTGTGAGAGAAATACGAGCACCATGCTCAAATTGTCTCAAGTGTTTTTCCCAGGTTCTGGATGAGATGAAAAGGGAAAAATGATATCCTTTCCATACTCTTTAACATGTGCTGTTGGGTGGGGAGACCGTGAATTTTGGAGCCAGATACCTCGGTATGAAATCAGGTTTTTGCACTTAATATCCGCGTGCCCTTGGGCAAGTCACTCCGAGGTTCTCAGCCCAGTTTCCGGGTCTGCATGGTGGAGACATCAATGCCAATCTGGTAGGGTCCTTCAGAGAAGTAGAGAAAAGTATGTTCTAATCACATGTTATACAGTAAATGGTGATTATTATTTTTATTATTCGATTTTTTAAAAAAACCGATCTTGGTTTTGCTTGAGATAGCCAAGTACCCATTCGCTTTTGACTGTAACATTTCCAAAATGTGTCTCCTGCCACCGCTCTCCCTGCAGGTCCTGCACCCCTTCATGCCCCACAATGTTCCTGTTTTCCCAGCACAACCACTCCAGAAAGGATCTGCGATTCATCCACGCTAAACTCATAATGGCCCTCCCGGGGGATCTGGGTTTTAACAGGGTTGAAAGCCTCAAGCTTAAAGGCTAAAGCTAACACCATGGAACCGAAAGCGACAGGGATCAACCTGGTTTTTAGGACACTGGTGTCTTTGATGTCCCGGCTCTCACAAGCCAGGTCGGCCTAACTCACTTTTACATATCACAGGGATCCATGTGACTGCGATTCTGATATGACCCGTCCTGTCAATATTTATTCTTCCTTTCTCTCTCTCTACAGGCAGGATTAATGTGTAACACAGCAGAGGCGCAGTACCTAGCACCTAGGAGGCACTCAGTAAATATTTATTGAGGGAAAGAATTATTCTCACAGTTAAAAACCGCTCCTTCCAATGTCTACCCTACATCTCTCCTGTTTGGTTTATCTATTTTCTCTTGAATTAGATACCTATTGTTGGGTAACCAATCACTCCAAATTTAGCAGCTGAAGACAATAATGAGTATATATTATCTCATACAGTTTATGTTGGTCAGGAATTCAGCAGCTTTAGCTGGATGGTTCTGGCCCATGGTCCCTCGTGAGGTTGTAGTTGGGATGTTGGCCATGCTGTGTTCAGTGGAAGACTCGCCTGGGGCCAGAGGATCCATTTCCATCATGGCCAACACACACGGCTCACGAGTCAGTGTTGACTTGGCAGGAGGCCCAGTCTGCCGCCCGATGTAGCCCCCCACAGGGTTGCTTGAGCATCCTGGTGTCATGGCAGCTGGCTTTCTCCAGACTGAGTGATCCCAGAGAGAGCAAGGTGGAAGACGCAATGTCTCTTCTGACCCAGCCCCAGAAGTTACACTCTGTCATTTCTGCAAAATCCTTTTGGTTACACAAGTCAGCAGGTCATCTCTATGTCTTGTAAGCGTTTACACAAAAGTGTGACTACCAGGAGTCAGGGGTCACTGGGGATCATCTTGGAAATTGGATACCATACCCCTCATTCCACCCTTTCTTATTTCTCCCAGAAACTGAAATTCCTTTTTGTCTCTTTCCTTTAGATGGACTTCAGTTCTCTCTTCTTAGGCATCTCATGAGCTCTTGGGGATAGCCAGACTTGCTTGCACTTCAGAGACGTGGAGCGAGGTGCTTTGGCCAGGGGCAGTGCTAATCTGTCTCTGGATTCTTGAGACTGTTGGTAGACCTTGACTTCAGCTTAACCTTTGCTGCCTAATCTACTTACTGCTCTAGCCAAGACCTACTGAAAGAGCAGGCAGGTAACCTCACTGTATGATGGGTCCCGATTTCTGGGTTAGGAAAATGCTACCTTGTGTATGTAAAGTCACAACTCCTGGGCTGCCCTGAGGTTTTAAGGTACAGGATGGGAGTTGGGTAATGTTGAGTCATAACTACTTCTTCTCCAGGACCCTAGTGACTAAGAATGTATATCTTCAAGAAGTTGGCTGATATTTCTTCAGGGCAGGGCCTATGGCCAGCCATTTTTTTTCCCCTCTGGACAAAGATAACTTATTTGGGGAACTTGATCTCCACTTGTACTTTATTAGCACTAAGATCTGAGCTAACTGGATCTTCCTTAAGAATCTGTGGCCTCAGACTATTTTCTTAGGTTCATCAACATTGGGGAAAAAGGAGTTTTCTCCCTTCTGTTCCCCTTGGCAGTTTCGCCTTCACTGCCTGGGAGTTTATAGCTATGCAGTCCCAAGTGTGGCCACGTCTCTTGTTTTGCAGAGCTGTTGGAAACATATTTTTCTCCTCACATGGCGAGTGTTCTTTCCCCAGCATTCTCGTATCACCGTGGAAGACAGCTCGGGAGCAGATAGCAGTTTCTAAGCCCCAAGAAGCAGTGACTGGGAAGTCATGAGGTTTCCCACACTGCAGTGTCCCTGGCTGAGGAGAGGTGCCAGCATCCGGGGGGGTGGGGGGGAGTGGGACACACATTGGGGGCGGGGGGAGAGGTCAGAGCAGAGGTTGGATTATGGGATGTTTTCAGTTATTAATAAAAACATGCCCTGGCCAGTTTGGCTCAGCGGTTGGAGCGTTGGCCTGCGGTCTGGAGAGCTGGGTTCGGTTCCCGCTAATGGCTTGTGCCTCGGTTGCAGTTTGTCCCTGGCCCTGGTTGGGTCGTGTGGGTGGCGACCGCTCGATGTGTCCCTTTCACGTTGATGTTTTTCTCTCTGTCTCTCCCTCCCACTCTATCTGAACAAAAAAAATCAAAAAATGTCCTTTGGTGAGGATAAAAACAAAACAAAAAAACAAATAATAAAAACATTACTGCTTTTGACCTCCTTATCCCTGTCTTCACGTGCAGAGTTTTGGTCCCAGTCTCAATGGAACAGAATCTTATAAGAAAAGTTTAATTTAAGCGGGTTTTGATGACAAGAGAGTAGATATAAATTGCGCAAGAGCTCTGGCCAGTATAGGTGTTTGTGTAGAAAGCCTTGGGCTTGCTCACCTGTGCTAATCTTCCGAGGGAACGGCCATCCCCCAGCCCCTGCCCTGGAGACTAGTGGCCTGGTTACTGGGAGGGGGCTGGGAGGAGGGGAGCTCACCTCTTGGACACACAGACCAGAGCCCTGGGGAGTGTGTGTTATTTAAGGCAAGTCTACCTGCTTCCTGGGAAGGTGTGGAGTTCATTTAGCCAGCTGCCGGCATGGGCTTTGTGACTCAATAATCATCTTTCTTCATCTCCTTTGTCTTACCGTTCTTTCATTGTCTTGTATTTTCTTCTTTTATAACCTTCTGATTACCGGAAACTCTCCTTTCCCAGGGGTTCTTTTAAGAAAGACCCACCTGGTCAGCCTCATGGAACCCTGCTCAGGACTCCAGTGCTCTGGGATAGGCTAGGGTTTTTCTTTTAAAAATTTAACTTTGAAAACATTAGTGAGGGCTCAAAACTGCCTTCACAAAGAAGCTGGGGAAACCGAAAAGTTAGTTCATTGTGGTATTTGGGGACATCATGCAGGCACTTAGTTTTGAGAAGCTGAGTAGAGCTCGGGGCAGGTGGGTGGAGGCCACTTGGGCATTAGAGGGTATGAGCTTAGCTGCTCGGCTCGAATCTTCCTGACCTCTGCCTGCTGCTGGCTGGATAATGTGAGGTGGCTGATGTCTGCTGCGCTGGATAGGTGTGGGGTTTCCAATAGATACCCCTAACCCTAACCCCAACCCCAACCCCTACCCCCAATCCCTAACTCCTACCCTAACCCAACCCCAACCCCTACCCCCAACCCCTAACTCCTACCCTAACCCCAACCCCTAACTCCTACCCTAACCCAACCCCAACCCCTACCCCCAACCCCTAACTAACCCAATCCCAACCCCTACCCCCAACCCCTAACTCCTACCCTAACCTCAACCCCACCCTGCCCCCAACCCCTAACTCCTACCCCAACCCCAACCCCACCCCTTTTAGCTTAGAAACCTGTAGCATTGAAAGGCTTATTACATCCTGTGGCTTCTCTTTGATCCTGTAAATCTTTCACCTTTTACTAGAGATTTCCTTGGAGAGGAACAATTCTGAGTTTTTACCTAATTTTTTGAGGCCTTGCACTCATAGGGCTTATAAAAAAAATTTCTACAGAAAGGCTCGTTATGTATTTGAGTGGGATGTCGGCCCTCACTTGGCATTGACACTGGTCTCCCTCAGGCATTTTGTACCGCAGCGCAGCGTTCTAGAGGCACAAACAGGGGACAGAACCCGGCCTCATGGACACGAGCTCTACAGGGCCCAGGTGCCCAGGAATTCAGCAGCAGCTCAGTTTCCTGTGATATGGATCACAGGCCCATCACAGGCACCAGCAGGGACTCCGGCCCCGCCCCTGGCGGGTGCCCCACTTGGCTGGTTTCCTGGGCTGTGGATGCTCTTTGAGCTTTTAGCAGGCCTGCCTGGAGGGTTTCTGCTCTGTGGTTTCCTTCTGGCAAGTGGTGACTTTTCCCGGGTACCAGCGGCATGCAGGAACATTTCAGTGGCTCCCGCATGTCATTTTGAATGGATGGGGGAGGGAATGAGTGAATGAGTGCAGATGGGTGGGAGGCAAGCCGACTTCCTGCTTAAGTGAATCCCTGCTCTCCAGTGGTTTCCGTGTCCACATGTGCTTTGCACCAGAGCGTGGCGTGGTGCGGTTGGGGGTTGCCCTCCACTCTCCCCCTTGGACTCTTCCTCGTTGGTCATCCCCATGTCCAGCCATCACTGCATCTTCCCTCAGTTTACACTAGGGGTGCCCTCCCAACCTTATCCGTGCCTGATTTTTTCACGTCTTTTTTTTTTTTTCCTATAAAGCACAAAACTAGCTTAAGTGTTGCTTTAATAAGTGGACAGAGCACAAGCAACGCCATGAACACAGCACAGACCATTCAGAACTGAGGCAGAGGGAGAAGAGAGCAGCTCACGAGAAATCTGAGATGCCGCTCTGGATATGCCCCCAGTGCCTGCCATCGGGTCACACACTCGGAGTAACACACGCAGACAGCCCCAAGCCCCCCGGCAGCCATCGGATCCACCGAGGGCTCTCTGGGAAGATACAGATAGCGGGGATAATCTCGCTCGGGGAGTTCATCGCTGTTTCCTCTTTCCTGTTTTGAACCGAATTTCTCTTTAATGTATTGTGTGAGTACAGCATGTGGAACATATCCTTTGGCATCGCATAAATATTTACTCACTAGTTAAAGCTGTCATGAGGCATTTGTTTCTCTTGAACATATTATATAACCTGTTTTCCTCGTGGCAAAATAAAAGGCACTGTGTCTTTGGTTTTCTGCACCTAGTTTCATTATTTTTCTTTTATTTGATCTTGATTTTTTTCCCCTACCAATAAGGCCATAAAAATCAAACCAGAGAATCATTAGGGGGAATTGAACTCCTCGGAGACGGAGTGGAGAGGTCCCGGGTCGCCTGTCGGAGCCACCCCAGTCACTGTTGTCTGGACTGTGGAGGTGGTTCCCTGTCCTAGGGAAGCCTGTCTCTTAAGGACCAAATCTAGAATAGCTGAGAATAGTAACAGAGGACGGCCATGGTCCATCCTTTGTGGCCCAGCTCTGTGCCCAGGACAGTGCCTGGCCTCCAGTATCCACATAGTAAACATTTTTGCATGAACAGTTTAGTTTATACCCTATAGAAATCCTCAATGTATATTTTTGCTTATGTTGTTTGAGTATATCTATCCTTTTCTCTTTATTTTATGCAAATCCAAACTATACATGTTTCTTGGTTTTCTTTTTTTTTTTTTTATCCTCACCCGAGGATATTTTTCCATTTTTTGTACAGATAGAGTGGGAGGGAGAGAGAGGAAGGGAGAGAGAGAGAGAAACATTGACGTGAAGAGACACATCGAGTGGCTGCCACCCGCACGACCATCCAGGGCCGGGGACAAACTGCAACCGAAGTACGTGCCCTTAGCGGGAACCGAACCCGGGCCTCTCCGGACCACAGGCCGACGCTCTAACCGCTGAGCCAAACTGGCCAGGGCTGTTTCTTGGTTTTCTTTGTCCATTTATTGTTTCTTGGTTGATTTAGCATATCTGCTTTTTTAAGCCACTGAATTAAATTCCATGATGTGGGTGTACCATGAATCAGGAAGTCCCCTTTAGCCTTTCTTCTAAATCTTGAAGAGAGCCAGGGCTGACATGGGGAGACGCAGGCAAACAGCAGCGGAAGGTGACTCCCATACGTGGGACCCAGGCTGTTCTGCTGTCCTCGGGAGGCTTGAATGGGTGAGCCTGGGTGGGAACTCTGGAACTGACGTTTACTGTTTGTTAGCTGTGTGACCTTCAACAAATTCATTATTTAACTTCTTGGAACCTTGATTTCTTTGTCTGTAAGTTGAGAATAACACCACCTCATGGCTTTAGAGGATGTGTATAAGTTGCTTACAGATCTCATGTGTATGTAATAATACTTCATGGGTATATAATAGCACCTCATATATATCTAATAATATCTCATGAATATGCAGTAACACCTCATGGGTATGCAGTCATACATTTGCATATGTAATAATACCTCATGTATATGCAACAGAACCTCGTAAGTATGTACTAGTACCTCATGTATATGGAACAGTACCTTATGTGTATGGAACAGAGCCTCATGTGTATGGAATAGTACTTCATGGATGTAAGATGCTTATAATGGTGCTCACTGCATGGCAGGGGCCCCATAAATGCTAGCTGCTATTTTTCAGCTTCTGAAAAATATCCAAGGTTTGAGTGCTATTTAGACGAAAATACCAGGGTGATGGACTTGTTTTCTTTGTATTGTGAAATTACCTGCCTTGAGGACTGATTCATTATTTGCTTGGGTTAGCCTTCTGCGGAGGTCCCCAGCCTTTTCTCAACCCAGTCACGCTTCCTGCGGCGTTTGTCCTGGAGCTGTCGGAGTTCCTTGCCCGGCCCAGCCTTCTTGGCCGTGTTCCAGGTCTGAAGACGGAGTCTGTTTTTCCAAAACCCCTAATGGATGGGCTGGAGGGAGATAATGCTGACTCTCTTTTTCACTCCCAGCGGCAGGTGTGGAACATCTGGAGGCAGCTGGACCCCAGCAGGGTGGACACCAAGGGGTATCAGTAGGTTTTGCAGGGTGGGGGAGAGACTGTTTCGCTCTTCCTCGGTAATGAGGTGTCATGTTGCGTAGGGAGAGAGAAGGAAGCGAACCAGCTTGGGCTCTAGGCAGAACCATTATATTACCCCCTCTCGACAGATAAAAAACAGAGGCTCAAAGAGATCAAATGACTTGTTTGAGGATATAACACAAATCTGGGGCAAAGGCCGTCTCCTAACACCTAGTTCAACTATACTGGCAGAAAGAGGTCAAAAGAGGGAGGTCAGCAAAAATAAAGATCCCACAGCATACTTGCTGAAGGGAAGGGCCCTGTGTGCCCTGAACATTAAGGGCAGGTGACCAGCCTGCTGTGAGGCATGACAACGGTGCCCAGAGGTCATGCGTATTGGTCCGTCTCGTCCAGGGTGTTGGGCAAGGTTGATGCTTGGGTTTGGCAGTCTTGCTACACAGACCCTGGAAGGAAGTGCTGACATCCAGGAGTTCATAAGTCTGGGCCTACTAGAAACTCCCTGGTGGATATTCCTAACCCAAAAGAACCCCGAGAACACAGAGATTAAGGGTGCCGTTGACCTCATGTGTTCAGTCTGTCTCCTTGGCTCTCTCTGTGCAGGAGATGAGGCAGGGTGAGGGAGGTGACGGCAGAGTAGTGAGTCCTTCAGTAATTAGACTGGCCAGAAAAGGTGGTGTCAGGTTTGGGCCTGGGGCTGCCACTCCCTGAGCCTGTGAGTGCTCCCCGGTCTAGTCTGAGAAGTCTGCCCGGGGAAAAGGGCCCAGGAGAGGTTAGGTCCACAGAACACTAACTGCGAGGTGTGGCTTCTTTCTGCTGCCCCTGCCACCTGCATGCAGCCTGTCATGGATTCTTCTGAGCACTGGGGCTGTAAGATACTCGTGGGTGTAAAAGCTCCTAGGAGTTTGAAGTTTATAGATGAATCTGACCAAGAGGAACCTGTGCCTGGAAAGTTGTTGGAGACTGGGGTTACTGAGGACTTCGTAGCTGCTTCAGACCATGTCTCTGCATGGTATTTCCTCACCATTGTTAAATTACCCTCCATATAATGTAATTTATTAGCCCATTCTCCTAACGTTAGGCAATGAAGTTGCTTCTATTTGTTGGCCAGTATAGACACGCAATCGGGGAAACGTCAATAAGGTGTAAGTGTGCAGCTTTCTGTGTCTGTTTAATTATTGACTTCGGGTAAATTCCTAAGGAGTCGCCAAGTCAAAGGCGATGTCTGTCTTTGCTGCGTTTGCTTGAAGTGGAGCATTGCTGTCAGAAAATGTTCTCACGTGGCCTGTAGCCGTGAATGAATAGCCCAGTGTCACAGAGGCCTTCCCATTAGCGGATAATACATTTCAAAACAAATTTGTTTCTTTAGTAGGTATTAAATGGTAAGTTGTTGGTATATTAAAACTGCTCTGCTTTGCGTTTGAGAAATTTCCAATAGGTGAATATTTTATATTTTTCCTTCTATATATGGTATGTTCCTGTCATTTACAGTTATCTGTAGGGGTCTTGGTGTATTTACTTGAACTTGTTGATACATAGATCTCTCTGGTGTTCTTGCCATTTAACTGGGAACTAATTGGGAGAAAATTAACAAATCCAGATTGGGAAACATTCCTTAAGACAATCTCCTCGACGTTTCATAAATGTGTCATACAGAGGAAAAAAGTCAAGAAAACCATTCCAGATTAAGGCAACTAAAGAGACATAGCGACTAAATGTCAGCATGAGCTCTGATTAGCTCCTGGATTAAAAATGTTAAGACAACAACTATAAAGGATGTTCTGGGGACAATTGGAGCAATTTGAAAATGAACTATAAAATTTCTTGACTCTGATAGTGTGGTTGTGGAGGAGAATGTCTTTGTTCTTAGGAGATAAAGGCTGATGTGTTTAGGAGTAAATTATAACTATGTCTGAGACTTCCAAAAGGCTCAACAAAACTATATATGTTTATGTATTATCTATATTATTAATACAATTATAATATAATCATGTTGAAAT